ATGTTATAGTCCACAACATCTAAAAGAATTTGGGTGACTAGCTCCGAATCGCCTAAAATTTTGCAGGCTCATCAAAAATGACCTAATGAACAATTGTCATCGCTTCGCCATGACCATCCCTCGTTTTATGGCGTTTAAGGGCCATAAAACAGGAATTCGAGACGATACCCAGATTTTCATAATGAACAATAGTCATCGCTTTGCCATGAATGCTCCTTGTTTTTTGGCGTTTTGGGCCATAAAACAGGAATTTAGGATGATTCCCAGATTTTTGTGTGCTAGTCCACACCATCTACATGAATTCGGACGACCGGCTCCGAATCTCCTAAAATTTTGCGAGCCCATAAAAATGACCTAATAAATAATAATTATCGCTTCACCATGATCATCCATCGTTTTATGGCGTTATAGGGCCATAAAGCAAAAATTCAAGACAATTCTCAGATTTTCGTAATGAATAATAGTCATCGTTTCGCCATGATCATTCCCCGTTTTTTGGCATTTTAGATCCATAAAACCGGAATTCAGAATTATTTTCAGATTTTCGTGTGCTATAGTCCATGTCATCCGTATGAATTCAGGAAACCGGCTCTGAATCTCCTAAAATTTATAGGCCCATAAAGAATGACCTAATGAATAATAGTCATCGCTTCGTCATGACTGTTCCTTGATTTTTGGCGTTTAAGGACCATAAAATAGGAATTCATAATGATTCACATATTTTTTTGTGCTATAGTATATGTCATCTGCATGAATTCGGGTGCTCGGTTTTGAATCTCCTAAAATTTTGCGGGCTAATAAAAAATGACCTAATGAACAAAAGTCATCGCTTCTCCATTACCATTCCCCATTTTTGGCATTTTAGGGCATAAAACAGGAATTTAGGACGATTTCTAGCTTTTCGTGTGCTATATGGTCCACTTCATCTACATGAATTTGGGTGACTGGCTCCGAATCTTCTAAAATTTTGCGAGCCCATAAAATGAACTAATGAACAATAGATATCGCTTCTCTATGACTGCTCCTCGTGTTTTGGTGTTTTAAGGTCATAAAACAAGAATTTAGGATGATTTCTAGATTTTTGTGTGTTATAGTCCACACCACCTGCGTGAATTCGGTCGACCAGCTCCGAGTCTCCTAAAATTGTGCGGGCATATAAACAACAACCTAATGTACAATATTCCTCGATTCTCCATGACCGTTCCTCGTTTTATTGGTGTTTTAGAGCCATAAAAGAGGAATTCAGGAAGATTCCCAGATTTTAATGTGTTATAGTCCATGTCATCTGCATGAATTCGGGTGACCAGCTCCGAATCCAGCAAATACTATTAAATGAACAATATTCATCACTTCGCCATGACTGTTCCTCATGTTTTGGCGTTTTAGGGCCATAAAACTAGAATTCAAGAGGATTTCCAAATTTTCGTGTACTATATAGTCCACACTGTTTGCATGATTTCGGGTGACCGGCTTTGAATCTCCTAAAATGATCTAATGAACAATAGTCATCCTTTTTCCATGGATGTTCTTCATTTTTTGGTGTTTTAATGCCATAAAACAAGAATTCGGGATGATTCCTAGATTTTCATGTGCTATAGTCCACATCATCTGCATGAATCCGGGCGACCAGCTCTGAATCTCGTAAAATTTTACGGGCCCATCAAAAATGACCTAATGAACAATACCCTTCATTTCACCATGATTGTTTCTTATTTTTTGGCGTTTTAGGGCCATAAAACAGGAATACAGAACGATTCCCAGATTTTTGTAATGAACCAGAGTCATTGCTTCGCCATGAGCCTTCCTCATTTTTTGACTTTTTAGGGCCATAAAACAGGAATTCATGCCAATTTACAGATTTTTGTGTGCTATATTCCACGCCATCTGCATGAATTCGGGCGACCAGTTTCGAATCTCCTAAAATTTTGCGAGCACATCAACAACGACCAAATAAACAATATCCATTGCTTCGTTATGAATGTTTCTCATTTTTTGGCATTTTAGGGCCATAAAATAGGAATTCGGAATGATTCCCACATTTTTTGTGTACATAGTCCACGCTATCTCCATGAATTCGGGTGACCGGCCTGAATCTTTTTTAAATTTTGTGAGCCCATAAAAACTACCTAATAAATCATTATCATCTCTTCCCCATGACCGTTCCTCTTTTTGGTATTTTAGGGTCATAAAATAAAAATTCAGGACGATTCCCAGATTTTTGTGTGTTATTATCCATGCCATCTCCATGAATTCGATCCGAATCTCCTAAAAATTTGCAGGCCCCTAAACAATAACCTAATGAACAATAGTCATCACTTCGTCATGACCGTTCCTCATTTTTTGGCATTTTAGGGACACAAAACAGGAATTCAAGACGATTCATAGATTTTCGTATGCTATAGTCCACGCCATCTGCATGAATTTGGGTGACCGTCTCCGAATCTCCTAACATTTTACAGTCCCATCAAAAATAACCTAATGAACAATAGTCATCCCTTCACCATGGTCGTTTCTCATTTTTGGCATTTTAGGGCCATATAATAGGAATTCAGGACGATTCCCAGATTTTCGTGTGTTATAACCCACGTCATCTGCATGGGTCCGGGCGATCGGGCCCGGATCGCCTAAAATTTTGCATGCCCATATAAATGACCTAATGAACAATAGTCATCGATTCTCCATGAGTGTTCTTGTCCACGCCATCTGTATGAATTCGGATGACTGGATCCGAATCTTTTAAAATTTTGCGATCCCATGGTCATGACCTAATGAATAATCATCATCGTTTCGCCATGACCATTCCTCTTTTTTGGTTTTAGGTTCATAAAACAAGAATTTACGACAATTTCCAAATTTTTGTGTGATATTGTCCATGCCATCTGCATGAATTCGGGCGAACGGCTCCAAATCTCTTAAAATTTTGGGAGGGCATAAAAATATTCAAATGAACATTAGCCATCGCTTCATCATGACCATTCCTCATTATTTTGGCATTAGAACCATAAAACAGGAATTCAAGATGATTCCCAAATTTTTGTGTGTTATAGTCCACGTCATCTGCATAAATTCGGCCGATCGGCTCTAAATCTCCTAAAATTTTGTGAGCCCATTTAAAATGACATAATAAAAAATAATCATCTCTTCTCTATGACCATTCCTCATTTTTTGCATTTTTGGGCTATAAAATATAAATTTAAGACGATTCCCAAATTTTCTTGTGTTATAGTCCACACCATCTGCATGAATTCGGGCGACCGACTCCAAATCTCCTAAACTTTTGCGGGACCATAAAAAACGAGCTAATGAACAATACTCATTGCTTCGCCATGACCATTCCATGTGTTTTGGTATTTTAGGGCCATAAAATAGGAATTTAAGACGATTCTTAGATATTCGTGTGCTATAGTCCATACCATCTGCATGAATTCGGGCGACCGGGTCCGAATCTCTTAAAATTATTGGGCCTATCAAGAATGAACTAATGAACAATAGTCATCACTTCGCCATGATCGTTCCTCAATTTTTGGTATTTTAGGGAAATAAAACACGAATTCAGGACGATATTCTGATTTTCGTGTGCTATAGTCCACGCCATCTGAAGAAGATGGATGAAGCATTCAAAGTCAACTACTGGGTTGAATCAATAAAATAAGAGCTTGAACAATTTGAGAAAAACAAGGTGTGGAGTCTAGTTCCAAAATCATCTGGTGCATCAATATTAGGAACAAAATGGGTATTCAGATATAAACTGAACGAATCAGGCCAAGTAATGCGTAACAAGGTAAGATTAGTAGCTCAAAGAAACTCACAATGGGAAGAAATCGACTATGACAAAACATTTGTCCTGCAACATGGTTAGAATCTATTCGTATACTTCTTGCTTATGTAGCTCACAAAGGTTTCATGTTATCCTAATCATGTCTTCAAACTATCAAAATCCTTGTATGGTCTTTAACAAGCTCCTAGAGCCTGGTATGGCAGATTAAGCTCCTTTTTATTAGACCATGGTTCACAACGAGGTAATATCGATACAACTCTATTTACTAAACGGTCTAACTTTAGAAATCTTATTGTTCAAATTTACGTGGATGACATTATTTTGGAAGTTCTAAACATGTTTTGTGTGCAGAATTTTCGAGTATTATGAAAGGAGAATTTGAAATGAACATGATGGGAGAGTTAACCTTCTTCATTAGGCTTCAAATCAAGCAATCATACAAAGGAATTCTTATTAGCCAAACCATGTATACAAGATAACTTTTAAAAAGGAATGGATAATGCAAAATCTAGTGGAACACTTATGAGTCCATCAACATCTCTTGAAGAATGCATAGATGGAAAAAGTGTTGACGAAACTATGTATAAATAAATGATTGGATCTCCCTTGTACCTCACTGCCAGTCGATCAAATATAATGTTCAGTGTATGCAAATGTGCAAGGTTGTCGACTCCCAAGGAATCACATCTCACTGCGGTAAAACGTATCATTATATCTTATCGTTACTTCTGAATTTGGTTTATGGTATCCTCTCTCTAATAATTTTAATCTCAAAGGTATTTTAGATGCAGACTTTGCATGTGACAGAAAAATACTAGTGGACGTGTCAATTATTGGAAAATGCTCTAATTTCATGGCATAGCAAGAAACAAAATTATGTATCAACTATAAAGGTTGAATATCTTGCAGTTGAAAGTTGTTGCACTCAGATTTTATGGATTATGCATAAACTTTTAGACTATGATTTACATCTAATTTCTACTCTTATTTTGTGTGATAATACCAATACTATTTGTCTATCAAAATATTATGTGCATCACTCTAGAGCCAAGCATATAGAGATTAAGAATTATTTTATTCTTGATCATGTTGCCAAAGGTGATATAGTATTGGAATTTATTAATATTAAGTTTCAACTTGCTGATATTTTTACAAAACCTCTCCAGGAAGAAAGACTTTGCTCTTTATGCAGACAAATTAGTATTATGCTTGCTCCTTAGAGATTTTTTTTTACTTACTAGAATCTTACTGTATTTTCAAAAATATTTTATTGTCTTATGCAATGCATAGTCTTTTGATGGTATCCATTAATTACATGACTGATTGCGATAATTACCTGCTATATGACCGCCGAAGCAACTCCTCAACACTTCATCCCTTTTTCCCTTCAACCAAGCCAACCCTTCACACTCTCTATCAGCCTTTTTAATCATCCCTCATCACTCTTCATCGCTTCATCACCACTTCGCAGACACTCAGCTAAACCTAAAATTATCCCTTTACTCTGACCCTCTCAAAACCGGTGATGAAAGCAGTGACTCTTCTAAAGACCAAGTCTTGAGCTAGAAAAGAGCTGGTAAGAGATCCATGGACCATACCCCAAAAGGTACTGCATACAAGAGGGTAAAAGGAAAGTGTTGATTTTGGGCCTAAGGACAAGATGATTTTCTACGGACCACCGGAGAAATCCAAGTGTGAATCTTACAAATCAAAGTTCATGGCATATGCACACACTTTAAGTATCTCTTTTATGAAGGATATGTATTGTAATATTGTCTCAATTTTTTACTTTCAACGATTATCACCTTTATTTGATACTGTTGGGAACATTATGTATGAATAACCTGTGAGAATGTTCTATGCAAATCTGTTTGTGAATGATAAAAACGATTTGGAATCCATGATTTTGGGTACTTGTATTGTGCTTGATGCTTATCAATTTGAGATAATCTCTTCTACAAATTTCATGGTTAAAATGTGTTTGTTCAAAACTCCTGGAAAGAACTTTGAAGTCTCTCTGGATGAGGAAAAAGTTATGCTATCTGAAAATCCCCCAGATATTGGCCCTAAAAGCTTGAAATTTGAACATCGTGTGTTGGCCCACATGATCACAACTACTCTTTTACCAAGAACTGGTTCTTTTAGCTCTTTCTACCAGGGACATCTTTGTACTTTACTGTCTTGTAAAAAAACAAAAGACTTGATTGGTTTGTGTGAATTCGTCAGTACATGCTAGAAAGTATTAGAGAAGTCTCATTCTCTGCCTCTTATTTACCCTATGCTTTGCTTATTTCACACATTCTTGAAGTGATGAAGATAGACTTGTCACCTTTTTTCACCTAAGATCATCTCTAGTACCTATGATAAGACTATATTTGCAATGATAGGCTACACTCTGGTTGAAGATGTGTGGGTAAGACAAGTGAAAGCACCAGAGGCACCAGGAAATGTTAAACCACCTTCTGAGCCAGCTGAGATACAGTCGACTGCTCCTAGCAACCTACAGCGGATTAAGCAAAGGTTGGAAGGCCTAAAGAGAAAGCTCACAACCATGCCGGAACAAGTAGATAAGATCAGAGAAGTAACCAAGGAGACATGTACAGATGTAGCTAAGCTAAGGATGGACATTGGAGCTACCAAAAAGCAAGGGATCAAGGCTTTCTAGAACATGACAATCAAGATGGATAATCTTACAAAGAATGTTGAGACCTCATATGACTCTTTCTACACCAAAACTATCAAAACACTCAAGTACTTTAAATGGAAAAACTAAGGCCGACTATGTGTTTTGTCTAAAATAATCTTTTGCTGATACTTTTACTATTAGTTATTTTTGGACTAGATGAACTTATTTGCTACTATGCCTCTGTTGTAGGCATATATCTAATGTTATTAGCATATCTATATCTCTATGTTGTATTTGTTTTGCCTAGTCTTGCATTATTCTCTCCTTTTTGATTGATGTCAAAGGGGAGAAAGGAAGAGGCAATAAGTCATGGGGAGCCCCAGTTCAACAACACATGAGGAGCACCAAACATACAGGGAAGTATCATCTACATTATTACTTTTTTTAATTGTCATCATCAAAAAGTGAGAGATTGTTAAACTTTAAGTTTTATTGATGACACATTTAATAATGGTAATACTCATCTCTTTCCAATATGTGTAGGAAAATTGATAAATGGAAGGGAAAGAAGCAATAACTGCGAAAGGAAAGAAATACAAGTGATGCAAGTGATCTGTACAGATTCAAGAGATCAAGACAAGAGGAAGAGCTAATTGAAGTACAAATATCTGATATCATAGGAAAATCAAAGGAGCATCAATTAGACAACTCAACATACTAAAAGATTTGTTGTGTAAAAGGAAAGATAAAGACATTAACTCTCAATCAACTTAACTATCCAAAAATCCCTCAGAAGGATATGGCAAACGTAAGAAAGGAAAGTGCAGTTTGTTATATGAATCCAATCCACATCTATTGACTGATTCAGAGGCATCCCTTGGGTCAGTCTCTAAGAAAATTACTTGCCTCAATCAAAGGAATTTCTCAATCTCACTCACAATCAATGAAGATCTTGGTGACTGAAATAACTCAAGACATCAACCACTGCCTATATGAAGAACTCGGAGAAGAAGAGAACAGTGCGCAACTTCACATACAAACTTTCTACATCTTTCTAGTTGTTAGTAAAATACGGTATTCGTGAGTTTACTAGTGTCACAAAATATAGAAAGAAAAATAAAAAACAATCAAGAAGTTCTGTCAAAAGCTTGAAAAACATTCAAATGTACATTGTTGTGGTAAACGAAGGAAAACCACGACCGTTGTAATAAATCAACTTTGAAGATCTAAGAGAACCCTTATGCCCCAAGGAAATTTGATGTAGGTACACACAGGTAGGGGTGTTCAAAACCAAACCGAAATCGAAAACCGAACCGAAACCGAAACTTAATGGCTTAT